CAAGTATAGAAAAATAGAGAGAGAATAGGTGCAAAAGTGTGTGTGTGTGTGTGTGACGTCATGAGCCAACGTGCCCTTGAGTGTCTGAGCGTCGAACCAGCAAACGTGAGCTCGCCTGTTCAAGCGAGCAGCAAGAAAATATATCTCAAATAATAGTTATTCATATAATAATAATAATAGGAATAAATATAATAAAAATTTAAAAAAATAAAAATAATAATAAATATAATAATAATAATAATTAAACATAATAATAATAATTATATTTAAAAAAAGAAATTAAATGGAATTTTTCTTAAAATTTTGTTACTTTCAATCTCACGTGTGATCGTCAAAGGCCGCTTCCCAAACCCTCGCCAGCCACGCCTAAAGTCTCGTCAGGGTTCAAACTTTTTTTTGTTATCATAAGAATAGTTAATATTAAGTAATCATGCTAAGAGTATTGGGCAAAAAGTACAGCCACACCCTGATTAGCCCGAGCAAAGCTCACTAAATGAATTAAATAAAGCATTCAGAACGATTCACTCTGAAAGTTTCTCCACAGAGATTCGCTGTTCATCTCTACTTTCTACTCGGAACTTTGAAGTGCCCAAATGCTGCCCCCCCCCCCCCCCCACACACACACACACACAAAAAAAAAAGGTAAGAGACAAAGAAAGACATTTTATATGTATTAAATTTGCCTTTGCCTGACGTCATTCTGGGCGTCTGCTGCCTAATTGCTGGCAGGCTCCTTCAGCTGTCGCACACCTTGACTGCCCCTTGCACCATACCCCCCCCCCCCCCCACCCCTCCCCTCTCCACGCCCCACTCCCACCCGCGCGTGCTGCTGCAGCTTGGGTGTTCGTCGTAATTTGCGCACTCAATGGAAAATTGTTAATTAGATTCCTTGCTTGCCGTGTGACTTTGTCTTCTTTACCACGTCGTCGTCGTGGTCGTTGTCGTCGTCGGCCATTGTTGTGTTGCCCCTCCCCTCCCCTGTCCACCCAGCACCTTGCGGGTTGAACCCTTTGCCAGAGCTGGTGCCGCGTACTCTGGAGCATGCCCCTCGGCTGAAGCGTTTTAGCCGTAGCTTTGTGTTGGGCTGGGCTGGGCTGGGCTGGGCTCCGGCCACGGAGCTTGTCGGCTCGCAACTAGCAATTGTTTTAAGCCACCTTTCCGCTTCAACGACTCAGCGAACCCAGCGAACTTTAAGTGCAAAGCGTTTTACACAGGAGAAGAGCACAATTTTTGCACTAAACTTTTTGCTCTTTCACTTTTTACCAACTGTGGCGAGTGTGTGTGTCTGTGTGGTGCAATGTGGTGTCATGTGCGCTCAGTTTTTGGTTCAGTGAAATCTTGCAACGGTAACGAGTGCAGGAAATAACACGGATGCGGCAAGCACAACCGAGCAATGAAACATCTGAACATCCGGACATAGAACGCAAGCCACAGTCGGCAACGACAGATTGAACAGCGGGGGGATAGTCGTGGGGGGGGGGGGGTTGAGGATTGTGTTAGACAACGATTAAATAAAGCTACGAGCATTAATTAAACACGACAGAGGCAATTGATTTATCAGCCTCTTCAGTTGCTCAATTTAATCAAAAAAAAAAAAAAAACCTCATTCAATTCTCAGCCAAATGATTTGTGTGCAAGCTGCAAATAAAGTGAAACGTTTACGAATGCCGCACAAAGAGAAATCAGCAAATTAAGAGCTTCACGCTCGCGAGAGACCAGATGGGTCTTAATAGTGAACCGTACGCCACAAAAAACAGCTCAACTGAAAGTTAATATTGCAATATATAAAAAAAAAAATTTATTTAATTAAACAAATATTTGACAAAATTCATTGCCTGACACATAAAAATAGAGAAAATCTTACAAATTCCAATGCCGATTTGTAATTGAGCCCGCAACCAAAAGCCGTAAATTACAAATTGACGAGAAACTAAGTTCTGTGTGAAATTATATGTACTTATATATATAATTTATGTATAATATTTCAATCTTTCTCTAATGAATTTTTCGAAGAAAAAAACTCTAAAGTAAATAATACAAATTATTTCTGATGGTTTAGTTTATGGCTCCATTTCATTTCCCAAATCCAATTTAGTGCAATTTTGAATATATATATTTCGATTTGAAGCATATGTAAATATATACTCGTACTCGTTTCAATAGAAGTGCATGAATACTCTTTGTACTCAGTTGATTATGAATAGATATTCTGAGTATTCTTCACGCATTTGTTCATTTCTCGGATATTTCACTCAAATTATTACAAATCGCGCCATTGCCATTGCTTCCTCCCTATTAAGCGGACACCCGTCCGCACAAGAGAGTATTCATATATGTATATATATGTATTTATTGTTATTAAGAAAGAAGCTCACAGCATGTTGATTGGTTCTACAGGTGGACAACGATCAAAATAAATAAATAAAAATCGTCACAGCTCTACACTCCCCCCCCCTCCAACACACACCCCTTCTCTGATCCAACACACAACACGCTGACGCTCAAAAACAATTCAAGGATTCACTCAACTGGTGCGATGCGAAGTGCGATTGGTTCCACATGTGCTGTGTGTGTTTTGTGTGTGTGTGTGTTTGTGGCGACATGTGTGTGCCTGTGTGTGCTTGCGTGTGTGTGCGTGTGTGTTTGTTTCAATTAAGCGCAGCAGCCGTGGGGCGCCAGGTCTGCAGATGCATTCGCCATGGCCAGCAAATAAAACTTAGACACGCTCCATGGCAATGGCGAGTGAAGGGGCGGGCGGGTTGGGCGTGGCGGCCAGCGAGCGGAACGGGGCCTGGGGAGGTGCAGGCAAGGGTTAAGTCCTGGCAGCAGCACAGCCAAAGCCGAAGCAGAAAAGAAAAGGAAAAAAATGCCAATTAAAATCTTAGCCGGGACAAGTGCATCATCAGGCAGACAAGACAAGGCAAGACAGGGGCGTGGGAAGAGGGGCAAGGCGGTACAAAACGGAATGGAATGGAATGGAATGGAAGGGAATGGACTGGAGCCTTGGCCAGCCTGTGTGGGCACGGGTTGGCGGATTGCGCGACACGACTCGAGTCGAGTCGAGTCGAGTAGAGGGAAATTGCCCCACTTGACGCCTTTGTGTGGAGCTCGTCTTGCTATCGCAAATGGCTCAAAAGTGGCTTCTTTTCTTTATTGTTGCTGTTGCTGTTGTTGCAAGTGAAGAATGCAGGCGTCGAGTGGCTGCTACTAAAATACTTAAGCAGCGCACTTGAGGCCTTCATAAAAACAGAATAGCCAAGAATGTGCTGCCAAGTGGCCAAGTTCGTGCTATACAGAGATTAGAGATTAGAGCCAAGTGCGAGCTCAACGAAAAGGCAATTAACTAGGCTCCGACAACAGCAGCAGCAGCTGCAGCAGCAACAACAACAGCAACCAGTTGAACTGGCATCAGGCTCAACTAGTTCAGCCCATTTGGTTCTAGCTCCGCCACGGAACTGTTCCAAGTTAAATATTTTAAAGCGAATTGGATTTTGATAAAGGATAACCAAAACTGAAACCGAACTAAGGAAAAGGCATCTGTAATCTAATTTTTTCATTGTTTCATTTCTCCACGGGTTCATTACTTTACAATCTCTTTGTCAGCTTTTAATTTCACAAACTAGCTTATTATCGATATCGATATCTCGAGAGATCCTACTTCCTCTCTTGCCTATCGATAGACTTATCATAATATCGATTGTTTACTTGGGTATTCCTACAAATAACATTGCACTCATTACGACCCCTTAAGATATATATAGTCTAGATCGGCATCGACAGCCGAGTTGATATAGCCAGGCCGATGTCTGATCATATGTTCAATGCGAACTGGTCCCTCAGTTTTTAAGCTTTCGCCTTGCAACTTTGCATATGTCGGATCGGAAAACTATGTCATATAACTGCCAGAGGAACGATCGGTCGAGAAGTAGGTTCTTGCATGGAAAACTTTTTTGCTTATCCAGTTATCTTGACCAAACTCGGCATTTACTAGCCAGACTATGCTGCCTGTACCTGAGCCAAATCTTACCAAGATCTTACTACCAGAGAGAAATAAGTTTCTTTGTGACAAATTAGTCTAATACTCGCGATATTTTTCAGGCAATTATTTCTTGGGCGTGCCGAAGATATCCTTCCTTACGCGATTTTCTTTTTTATGTTCGCAGTTCTTTCAAATTGAATTAGTTCCTTTTATTTAAATATATGAACTTTTTGCTGTTACGGCTGTTAGGGCAAACAATTCAATTTATGCTCTCTGCACTATCCCCGCCCTACCCCTTGCCGACAAACGCTGCCCACACGCCCCGCAACTAGCACAAGCGCAAGCGTTCCAATTGGAGTTTGGTATGGTTCTTATTGGACAAGTTTATGTGCGCCTCGCACTTACTTCGCTTTTGTTTTTTATTTTTCGGGCATGTGTGTGGCAAAAGGGTTAAAGCACACACACGCACACACACGCACACACACACACACACACACAGTGACAGGCACATGTCCTCGGGTTGAGGATGTGTGAGATGTATGTGCGTGCAAATTGCGTATAAAAGCGTATGTTGAAAATATTTATTGCCCGTTGCGAATGCAACAAAATGGAAATGAAAATTTCATTAGTTGACTTTTGCCTCGCACTCACACACACACTCACACACACGCACACATGTGTTTCTTTTATGTTTTTTGCTCGCTTGTTTTAAGCTAAATTGTTTATTTTATTAGCAATTTGGAGAATTTATGAGTTGAGCAAACCCGTCCAGCGAGCAACCAATTCGAAATGAAGCTCTGGAATGCCCATTAATTAGCGTGCAGCCTGAGAGACGAAGAGAGCGAGAGATAGAGAGAGAGAGAGAGAGAGTGGGAGAGTGGGAGAGTGCTGCCCTCTGTTGGTCAAAGCGCAAAGGACAGCCTGGCAAAGCTTGCAAGGACTGCATCCGATCCAGCTCATTGCCTACCTTTAGGCGATGCCTTTTATTTTTGAAAGGGTATTTGGGAATACACGCGCTTACCAGGTAAACATGTTCCGGTGCCGCTGAAGCTCTTCAGTTGCGGAAATCCTGCAAAAAAGAAGAACAGCAGAAAACGAGGTTAGAAAAATACGTGATTGTTGGAATTGTTGTGGCAGAAGGCAAAAGAAGTAAAGGTATGCGATGATTATCAATAGCTGTTATCGATATTTTTGCTATCGATATACTTGTAGGGCTATCAATAACTGCTAACTGTAACCGATATATGTTTATATGGTCATATTGGCATTGAAATCATGGACAGTGACAAACGATGTCAATCTTATCTAAAATATCGTGTTCTATGATCTTTTACCTATAAATTATGACAAGAAGCGGTAAAGGCAAATCGATGGTTATCAATAGCTGCTATCGATTGTTATCGATTGTTGTTATCGATATACGTAATCAAAGTTATTTGTTAAGGCAATGGCGACTATCGATACTTTTTGCTAGTTTTTGTGATTGGTATACTTGAGGTGCGAATGTTATTAACATAATGAAAGGAGGCAGCAGACGTAAAAATTGCCGATGGTTATTGGTAGCTGTTATCGAAAGCTATTGATTAATGTTATCGATAAATGTATGACAAGTAGCAAAAGTAGTAAAGTGATTGATAACTGTTTCAATAGCTGCTATCGATCTTTCTTGTTATCTTTTTGTTATCGATTTGCCTAAAGTGTCATTGGTTTTCGAACTATGACAAGATATATGTCATCGATATTTGTAATTGAGTTTTTTTTAGTTCGATATACTTTTAGAATTATTGATATTGAAATAATGACGAGAAGAGGGGAATAGCTATCGATATATATATATATATATATATTACTTATATGGGATTTACATTATTTATGTATGTTTTTCTTGACAAATATTCTCTCGCTAGTACATGCAATTGAAGCTTCACTGTGCTACACACACACACACACACACACAGTGTTTTCAAATGTTTGCTCATTAGTTGCGGCATTTATTAGCCTTACAAAAGCTCTCTAGCAATACGACCTGGCCCTGACCGCGCATCTTCTTGCCCAGACTGACAGACTGCCCCAGCCACAGCCTCTGCATGCTGCAGCCGGAGCAAGCGTCGCAAATGCAAATCATCGAGTGGCTCAGCTTTGCTCGGAACGTCGTGCTGTCCGAGTTGGAGGGTCGACGGGCTGGCGGGTCGTCGGGTCGGTTCCTCGGAGTGACATATCAAAGCAAAATCAAATTTGACAGACAACCCCGCTAATTTCTGCTCGATGTTTCATTGTTTTAAGGCGTTCGAAATGCCTCGCTTTAAAGGGGTTGCGACGCGCACAATCGGACAGGCGGCAGAGGCTGCGTTGGTGCGCTCTTAAAGGGGGGGTGGATTAAATAAAGGGAGGGAGTGAGGGGGGGGGGGAGTGGTAGGGGCCTCAACTGTTGGCTCTTGCTGACGCAATGCGCAAAATGCTACGAGCCCAATAAGAGTTCAACTCGTACGACACGCATGTGTGTGTGTAGCCCCCCCCCCCCCCCCCCCCTTCCTACCCGTCTCCCTGCAGACGCCCCTGCTCACGGCGTGCGATGAGAGCGAACGGAGGACGTCAACAATGCGCACATATCAAACTGGAAACTACATTTATTAGCTTTCGGCTTGTTATCAGGCCCCTAAGCCCCCTAGCCCCTAGGCCCGCCTGCCACCCTGTGGTAACCCCTCCTGGCTGGCCCATGGACTACGTGTTCTGCTGTGGCATGTCAACGGCAATCAACAGCCGCTGCTGATTTACCAAGAATATCGAAATCGTGAAATTCGATATTGCGCGAAATTTCTATAAGGAATTGTGAGTACTTCTGAGTGAGTGCGAGTGAGTGTGTGTGTGTGTGTGTGTGTGTGAGTGCGAGTGTGAATACAACAACAGCTGAATCTGTAAATGGGGAAACGTACAGCTCTATAGAAATGCAAGTGACGAAGTATTTATAAACTGATTAAGGCTAAACAAAAGCTGATATGGGTCGACACGAACCGCAGCGAACCGTCGCTGTTTGCCGCACTGCACGCCCCTTGGTTGCCACACCCCCTGCAAACTGAAGCTTTGGCGAACTTTATAGCTAAACTTGCAACACACACACACACACATACAAACATTTCTAATCGCGACCACACAAAGCGTGGCAACAACAGACGTCGCGTCGTGAGCTCTCAGTAGAGCGCCAATGACCGCGGGTCATGCAAAGTAGCCACAAACAACAACAAATGATGCGTGTGTGTGTGTTGTGTGTGTGTGTGTGCGGCGGCACAAGTGAATGGCAGCTGACAGTAGGTACAAGTTTCGAGTACTCGCACTTGAATGCATTCATCCCATCAAGCAGTCAGCAATCGCACTGAGTCATGACTATTGCCCATGTTTGCGTTTTGTTCGAATCATTTGAATAGTTGCGCATTTTTTGTGAATGCATTCATTTTAATCACACTCAGCTTCTTATTGCAATGAATATAATGTGAATACACTAATTTCCGGTCTTGCTTGCCATCGATACTATTGAATATTTCTCATCTTGCCGAAATTCGTCTTTGAATAGTTTAAATAGTTGCGCTTTTTTAGTAAATACATTCATTTAACTCACTTTCTATCAGTAACATGAACGACTTCTAGGCATCTATCAAGCGCTAAGCTAGTTTAAAATGCAATGAATATATTCTGAGTACACTCATAAGCATCAATGAATGAATATCGCTCATCAGGTCGAAATTTCTGTTTGAATCATTTGAATAGTTATGAATATTTACTTAGAATACATTCATTTAAGTCATTGCTATCAGCGACATGAATAATATTCGAGCGCAAAACTTCATCTTAATGCGATAATATACTGTGAATACACTCATTTTGGTGTTGTTTGCCATACTTATGAATGAATATTCTTCAGCATGTTCGTGTTTGAATCATTTGAACTGTTATACACTGCTATCAGCGTCATGAATAACTAGTATTATGCAACAAATATAATGTGAATACATTCATTTGACCTTGTTTGGCATCTATTTTCGCATGTCTCCAAAATGTTGGAATTTCGTCGAAAAACCGTTTTGAAAATGCAATGAATATGTGAATGCATTCATAAATATTTGATTATCTGCATTTTGACAGTGAATAAGTATAACTATATTCAAATCAAATTTCCTAAGTAAGTGTGCCATTTGAGTGTATTCACACTTGAATAAAATCGCAAGTGAATAAAACTTTTTGCACACAATTATCTGCAATTACCTTAGCAATAATAAAGTTTAAAAAAAAACTGAATGAAATATAACTGAACACTTGCGAGCGAATGTTGAATCAAATAAATACACTCACACTCATTCACATTTGCTGTAACCCAACAAATCGAACAGGTCTGCAACTGTTTGCTCAATGTGCTCAAATCGCTGAGTGGCCACACTTCAAATAGTTATTTTGTTGATGAATACCCACATGAATATATGAATCTATGAATCTGAATGAATATGCGCTGCATAATTAGCAGTCATCGACGGCGAGCAGTGAAAGCAGCTAAAAATAGCCGAAAAAATAACAAAATAAAATAAATTAAAACAAACGAATAAATAAACCATAAAAAGGGGCTTTTCGAGAAACTACGAATATCAAATACCCTTATAGACGGAGAAGACAAATTATATAGTATATCGATTCGATACGGTCTTTCTGAGTATATCAAGCTCGAGGCCAATGATGGGGTTATTTTATATATAAGAAAGTTATTTCAAAAACCTTCCAATTATATTCTTAGCAGACTTTGCTATCGCATCTGGGATGGAAACGGTATGCTTTCACCAGTTGAGAATTGCAAGCGGCAAGTTATGGAAGAAAAGGAATCCAATCAAACCAGTTACATATTATCTTTCAAACGATCATCCCTCTATAATAAGTATATAATAATTTATGTTATTGCAGACGTCTTCTTCTATTTGTTACACTTTCAGTGACAGAATTATAATACCCTCTCTTATAGTGTATAATAAAATCAAATACTGAAGAAAAAAAAACCAAAAGTTATTCATTCGATTCACGACGATTCAAATCGAGCCGCTGAAGAAGCGAAACAGCCAAATAAAAGAGCTTCACAATGAGGCTCAAGTGGCAAATCGTGTTTATTTGCGCTATAAAATTAGCGCAGCGTCAAGCTCGAGCTGTCTGCAGATGTATCTGTATCTGTATCTGTACCTGTATCTGTATCTGTATCTGTATCTGTATCTGTATCTGTATTTGTATCTGTATCTGTATCTGTATCTGTATCTGTATCTGTATCGGTATCTGTATCTGTATCTGTATCTGTATCTGTATCTGTATCTGTATATGTATCTGTATCTGTATCTGTATCTGTATCTGTATCTGTATCTGTATCTGTATCTGTATCTGTATCTGTATCTGTATCTGTATCTGTATCTGTATCTGTATCTGTATCTGAATCTGTATCTGTATCTGATCTGTATCTGTATCTGTATCTGTATCTGTATCTGTATCTGTATCTGTATCTGTATCTGTATCTGTATCTCTATATCTGTATCTGTATCTGTATCTGATATGTATCTGTATCTGTATCTGTATCTGTATCTGTATCTGTATCTGTATCTGTATCTGTATATGTATCTGTATCTGTATCTGTATCTGTATCTGTATCTGTATCTGTATCTGTATCTGTATCTGATACTGTATCTGTATCTGTATCTGTATCTGTATCTGTATCTGTATCTGTATCTGTATCTGTATCTGTATCTGTATCTGTATCTGTATCTGTATCTGTATCTGTATCTGTATCTGTATCTGTATCTGTATCTGTATCTGTATCTGTATCTGTATCTGTATCTGTATCTGTATCTGTATCTGTATCTGTATCTGTATCTGTATCTGTATCTGTATCTGTATCTGTATCTGTATCTGTATCTGTATCTGTATCTGTATCTGTATCTGTATCTGTATCTGTATCTGTATCTGTATCTGTATCTGTATCTGTATCTGTATCTGTTCTGTATCTGTATCTGTATCTGTATCTGTATCTGTATCTGTATCTGTATCTGTATC